TGCTTATGTGGTGCTGAGGAATCGAACCCAGGGCCTCAGGCATGCAAGGCAAGCGCTCTACCACTGAGCCAACTTCCCAGCCCAAGGCATGAGATCTAAAGTACAATAATACAGTGATATTTTTATGGGTTAGCTGTTGGCTTTATTTATTTATTTTTTTAGGGGGCGCTTTTGGGTCTTGAACCCAGGGCCATCCTACCACTGAGCTACCCTTGCAACCTGCTCCCTCAGTTCTCTCTCTCTCTCTTCCTCTTCCTTTCTCTCTTTCTCTCCTTCCTTCATTCCTTTATTCCTTCTTTCCTTCCTCTCTTTCTCTTTCTCTCTTCCTCTCTCTCTTGCATTTTTCAAAGTAAAGAGAGCATATTTATTTGCAAGTGAAAGGAAAGTCATGAAAGGAAAGACTTGAGACTCTCCATCTAGAGATGGGTCTAAAGAGGAGTCTTCTGCTCTCTTTCTTAATGTAGTGTTTTATTTCATTTAGAACTTGAGGGTATGTGAAAGCAAAGAAAAAGTAGACCATAGGAATTTTGTTAGTTCTAATGGGGTTCAAGGTTATTTCAATGCTTTTTTTTTTTTTAAAGACAATAGGAAACAGACTTGCTGAAGTGTTTAAAAGGAGTATTTGGTATATATCCTTAAGTTTCAGGTCTGTTTCATTAAATTTGTCTATAATATGAACGTGTCATTTTTCCTTTCTAAGTTTTCAGTTGTGTCATCTGGTTAGTATTAAAAATTGCATGGTGATTACCTAACTCTTTCCTCACACCAAACTTGTGAAGTAAATAGTTTGGGGATCAAGATATAAAAATGAAGATAGTTTGATTTTTGCAAGGAATTACTAAAAAATGGACTGTCATATAGTTCACAGAATTGAAATTCAATAAAGAAATGGGTTTATAGAAAAACAATTGAACAGTATTGAATTTATAATGTAAGGATTTCAGGCACTGGGGTAGACAGATTGTTCTGCACAGTATTCTAATGCATTTTCTCCTTTTACTATAGACCATCAGGTTTAAGTCCTACTTGCTGAGCATGGGGATAGCCAACCCAGTCACCAGGGAAACCTATGGCTCCGGCACACAGTACCATATGCAGCTGGCCAAACAGCTGGCTGGAATATTGCAGTCACCATTAGAGGTAAGGTCAAACCTCAGTGTCCTTTAAAAACTGCATTGAATCATTTCCATGTCATCAGAAACCTTAGGAGCATGAATTCTTTCATAATGTGGTTACTATTAGCCTATATTACTTTTCTCTCAGGAGTATTAAATTAGCTCAGTATACTAATTAATTATTATTTATCTTTATCTTCTAAATGGTTTACAATTTATCTTTATCTTCTAAATTGCTTACAATATCCATTTCAGGTATCTATCTATGTATATATTTAAATCTATTTGATAGGGAGATGTTTTTTTCAGGACTAGAGTTTGACTTCAGGGGCCTCAAGCTTGCTAGACAGCACTCTGCCATTTGACCCATGCCTCTTAACCCCCTTGTACATTGATTATTTTAGATAGGGTCTCACTTTATGCCTAGGCCATCCTAGGCCAAGAGCCTTTTATTTGTGCTTCTTTGTGTCATTGGATGTCAAGTACATACCACTACACTCAACCATTGATTGAGATGAAATCTTTCCAACTTCTTTGTGCCCACGCTGGCTTCTAACTATGATCTCCTGATCAGCCTAGCTGGCCTCTCAAGTAGCTAGGATTATGGGCTTGCTTGAGCCATCCAGCCTGCCTGATAGGAAGACTTTACTTTCAAAAAAAAAATCTCTACTACTCAGGAGGCTGAGATCTGAGAATCAAAGTTCTGTGCGACCTGAGCAGACAGATCTCCAATTAACCAGCAGGAATCCAAAATTGGAATTGTGGTTCAAATGATAGACTACCAGCCTTGAGGGAAAAAGCCAACTGAGAGCAATAAACCCTGAGTTCAAGCCTCAGTATTGGCACACACAACACATACACATATTACATATACATGTGTATATAATAAATATCTAGTCTTTCATGTATATTAATTTATGTATATTAATTTTATTATATAAATTCTTCTAGTTTAACAGTTTTCAGGTGATAAAACCTCTGTTGAAACACTTTTTTTTTTTTTTGCAAGTCCTGGGGCTTGAACTCAGGGTTTAAGTGCTATCCCTAAATTTCTTCTGCTCAAGGCTAGAGCTCTACCACTTGAGCCAAGCTCCACCTCTGGCTTTTTTGGTAATTTATTGGAGATAAGAATCTCTATTAAAACACTCCTTTTTTTTTTTTTTTTTTGTCGGTCGTAGGGCTTGAACTCTGGGCCTGGGCGCTGTCCTTCAGCTCAAGGCGAGCGCTCTACCACTTGAGCTACAGCGCCACTTCCGGTTTTCTGGTGGTTTATTGGAGATAGGAGTCTC